GAGGGCTTTTAAAAGTGTTGAAGACACAAGGAAAACAGTGAGAAAGTTCAAAATATGTCTTCTCAAACTTTCAGGAAAACCAGGCAAATTTAACCAAAATAACCTATTCACAAGCATTTTTTTTTCTGAGACAGAGTCTCACTATGTCACTCTGGGTAGAGTGCCATGGCATCACAGCTCACAGCAACCTCAAACTCTTGGGCTTAAGCAATTCTCTTGCCTCAGCCTCCCTAGTAGCTAGGATTACAAGTGCCTGCCATAACTCCTAGCTAGTGAGATACTTTTTATCGTGGTGAAATGGGACTTTGTAAGTTGGGGATCTTGCAAGTATTTTTTTGGTCTTATTATGCATAAAACAAATAGCACATATGCCTTAAGTTGAGAAGTATTTTGTTTTTTGTGACAGTCTCACTATGTTGCCTCCAGTAGAGTGCCATAGCATCACAGCTCACAGCAACTTCCAACTCTTGGGCTTAAGCGATTCTCTTGCCTCAGCCTCCCAAGTAGCTGGGACAATAAGCACCTGCCACATTACCCAGCTATTTTTTGTTGCAGTTGTCACTGTTATTTAGTTGGCCCAGGCTGGTTCAAACCCGCCAGCCTCAGTGTATATGGCTGGTGCCATAAAACCACTGTGCAACGGACACCAAGCCAAGTTGAGAAGTATTTTTAAAGGAATCTTTACCTGTGAATTTGCAACCTTATATACATATAATGTAGGAAAATGAAAACTAAAAACCAGCAGTGTAAGTGAAGCAGAAGACAGAAGCTGTAGCAAGAGGACTAACCCACTTTTAGGTTAGCCAAAAGAAGCAAAAACCTATTAGTACTAATTCTCGTGGTCATTTTTAAGGTCTTTTTTACTTGACTTTCCAGCATGTAACACTGTCAGTCATTTTCCTCCTTCTTGAAATGGCCTCTTTTGCTGGTTCCATGACAATTAATCTGACTAGGTTTTCCAACTCTATCCAACCATTCTTAGTATACCTTTTGGTTTTGGCAGTTTTTCTGTTTGTTTTGTTTTTTGCTTTGGAGACAGAGTCACACTTTGTAGCCCTCAGTAGAATGCTGTGGTGTCAATAGCTCACAGCAATCTCAAACTCGCAGGCGTAGGCCATTCTATTGCCTCACCCTCCCAGGTAGCTGGGACTATAGGCGCCCGCCACAGTGCCTGGCTAGTTTTAGAGACGGGGGTCTCACTCTGGCTCAGGCTGGTCTCAAACCTGTGAGCTCAGGTGATCCACCCACCTCAGCCTCCCAGAGTGCTAGGATTACAGGTGTGAGCCACTGCGCCTGGCCCTTTAGTATGCTTTTTAGCCTTCCTTTCCTTTAATTATATTGAGAAATTTTAAAAATATAAACATTTACATAACATATTCATTGTTATCACCCATTACTAAAAATTATTACCATTTTATTATTTTTTCCACTAGTTTTTTATCTATGTATTTACCTACTTTTGAAATTATAAAATAATATGTACATGTAATTTTTTTTTTTTTTGAGACAGAGTCTCACTTAGTTGCCCTAGTATTGAGTGCTGTGGCATCATAGCTCACAGCAACCTCAAACTCTACAGCCCAAGAGATCCTCTTATCTCAGCCTCCCAAGTAGCTGAGACTATAGGTACCTGCCACAATGCCTGGCTAGTTTTTCTATTTTTTTTAGTAGAGATGGGATCTTGTTCTTGCTCAGGCTGGTCTTGAACTTCTGAGCTCAAGCAATCCACCCTCCTTGGCCTCCCAGAGTGCTAGGATTATAAGTATGAGCCTCTGCACCTGGCATTTGTTGTTTTGCAGATACTTGAATGATTGTGTTTATTAGGGCTCTAGGCTCTCTTGTAGCTCTTCATGATCTTGGGATAATTGCATCTACTCTCATGGTTTCAATTACCATACATTCTCAGATGATTCCCAAATTTGTACCACCAATTAGTAACTCTTTCCTTTACTAAGATACATTTGACATATATCCTCCTTAAATTCATCTAGCCTCCAGACATCACCACTCGGACAAGATTTTCTCAACTGCAGCACTGCTGACATTTGGCCAGACAAGTCTTTCTATGGGCTGTATTATGTATTGGAGGGTGTTAGGAGCATCCCTGGCTTCTACCCACTACATGCCCACAGCACCCTACACGTATTGTCAAATGTCCCTATTTGAGAATCACTGGTTTAGACTTTCTATAAATCCTTAACAACTTAGGTAAACTGGACTTATTTTCCAGCCCTCAAACCTGCTACTCCTTCTATATTCTCCATCTCAGGAATGCAAACTTCCATACATCTATACCTAGAAAATCTAGGAATTATCTTTGCCTGTTACATCCTCATTTTTCAAATCTACTCAGCAAATTAGTCAATTTTATACTCTTAAAATTATTCAAGCTCTTTCATTCTCTTTATATGTTTTAGGTAGCAAAAACTAGTTATAATGAGTATAATACAAATGAGTAAGAGACTCCAGCTATAAACAGGAGAGGGGAACAATCTTATAAAATTCCTGGCAATGAGGTTACCTCTGGATTAAATGTTGGGGTTATAACTTTACAGAGGAAGTTTCTCTTCCTTGAGTCTGGGCTCTGATATGATCAAGTGAAAGTGAAACTATGCAGGCTTCAATGTTCTCTACACGACTAGAGGATTTGGGGAAGAACTTCTAACTTGTATTTTAAAAGATGTGATCTGCCTTTTTCTTACTTACATACGCAGCTGCTTCTTGGCAGTTCTTCCTCCTCTGTTTGTCTTTGTGGGTTTACCACTTGTTCCAATTGGGAGATGATATTGGGTTTAGAAAACGGAAACCCTACTCCAAGGAAAGAAACAAAATGTGAATATAAAGTTCAAAAGACAAAGGACCACCCCATTCTCACTTCGAGTCTGTTGCCTTTTAGAAAGCAGATAACTAGTTGTTGAAAGCAATAAAATATTTTCTGCCCAAATAAGGCAAGAAATAGTTTAAAGATATGATTAAGATCCTAGGAGGAAAAAATAACCACAGCATCATCAGTTATTATCCCCAACAGGAACAAAAGAATCTTCAGAAAGCAAAGGTATCACAAAAAGGTTACCCAAGGAGACCAGGTTCCTGTAGTTCTCTAGCATTACATCCCTGTACAAGACTCTCTGAGCAGGGTTCAGTTCTTTCCATTCTTCCTCAGTGAAGTTCACAGCCACATCCTTGAATGACACAGAGCCCTGAAACACCTGCATGGGGGTCTGAAGAAAAGGGAATAAGGCAGAAACAGGGAAGATGGATGAGGTGGAGAGGAAATGGATTCACTTATGTTCATAGAGTCAGAGTTAAGATTTTATTGACCCTTTGGTCATAATTCAACAGTAGTTTTATATCTAGAACTCAATCATAAGAAAATGATTAGAAATATTTTAAAGTTATAAACAAAGAATCATATCTATTTACAGCTTATATTAGCAAATAGTTGTAAATAACCTAATGTTTGATAAGTGTCAGAAGCTGCTAAAAACACACTGCTTCCTTTCCTTTCCCAACCTCCTCTGCAGTTTGATAGATGTGAGAGTCCAGCCAATCAAATGCAAGAAGGAGATGCTTACCACTTCCAGGCTAACTCACATACACTCCTCCCTGTTGTTTTCCCCTACTGACTGGCTAGGATGGATATAACCCCCAGAGTGAGTTTACAAGTCATGTGTTAAAGATGCCACAGTGTTGGCTAACTCAAGTCCTTGACTGGCATCCTGTCAAGTCTGTTGACCCAGTCACAAATGTGAGAGCAAGAAATACACCTCTACTGTATTAAGGCCACTGTATATCTGAGGTCTACTGATTACAGCAGTTATTATAAGCTATCCCTATTTCATGAATTAGCACCTGGAAGTGGAAGGTATCATAATGAAAACTTGATTGGCTTGACAATGGAATTGGATATTTATTTACTTACTTTTATTGGTTTTCATTTTTTATTTAAGATTAATATGAGGGTATCACTGTTCAGGTTTCATTTCTTTCTTTCTTTTTTTTTTTTTTTTTTTTTGAGACATAGTCTCACTTTGTTGCCCTTGGTAGAGTGCCATGGTGTCATAGTTCATAATAACCTCAAACTCTTGAGCTTAAGTGATCCTCTTGCCTCAGCTTCTGGAGTAGCTGGGACTACAGGTACCCGAGACAATACGCAGCTACTTTTTAGAGACAAGGTCTTGCTGTTGTTCAGGCTGGTAGAGATGGAGTTTGCAATGAAGTTTGCTCTTGCTCAGGCTGGTCTTGAACTCCTGAGCTCAAGTAATCCACTCTTCTCCAGAGTGCTAGGATGATGAGCCACCAGGCCTACTGTTTTCATTTCTAAGGTAAAGTTCAAGTTATAGTTGAGCCCTTCACCCAGGGAGCTATGCTAAATATCCTTACATTGTGCACATTAGGTGGGAACCTGCCAATCACTCTCCCTCTTCCTCTTTCCCCTTTCCCTCCTCCCCCCTCACTTGAATATACTTGTGTTTTTAAATTTCGTATTAGTATTGAGTGGAAGAAATGGATACTCAGAGCCAGACAGATGTAGACTTTTTTTTTTTTTGAGACAGAGTCTCACCTGTCACCCTCAGTAAAATGCCATGGCACTACAGCTCACAGCAACCTCAAACTCTTGGGATTAAGCTATTCTCTTGCCTCAGCCTCTCGAGTAGCTGGGACTACAGGTGCCCACCACAATACCCAGCTAATTTTTAGAGAAGAGGTCTGTCTCAGGCTAGTCTCAAACTCATGAGTTCTGGCAATCCAGAATGCTGCCTCCTAGAATGCTAGGATTACAGGCATGAGCCACTGCACCCAGCCTCAGATGTAGACTCTAGATATACACCGGCAAAATAATTAGTAACTATGAGGGCAGAGCAATTGCTCACCAGGGCGTTGGCTCTAGGGGAATAGGTTGGAAAGAGCCAGAATGTTGGTTTATGCAGAATGCTCCTAGATATGTGTGGCAAAGAAGAGATTAAGCTCAGAAAGAACTCGCCCATTCTTTTACCTATTACTGGACTCTACAATACAGAGTCCAGAAATCTGGGCCTTCACATAATTGGCACAGTAAACTATTTCCAGATCTCATACAGTGAGAAATATGTTGGTGTTGAGCAACAAAGGCCCATTAAAACTTCTCAACCAAACCAAGTGACTGAGCCCTGTAAAACAAAAGTCAGAGTAAGAATGTAGCTTCCCACCCAAGCCTATGTTTAGCTGGCCTTAATGCTATCTTAAAGTTAAGAGCAAGACATGGTAAACAAGAAACTAAGAAATACAGCAAGCTTGTGAATTATTTCTAGGAAAGAACATTGGATATAAAAAGACTTTTAAGTTATTATGAAACAAAATATCCATTATTTCAATTCACTTCCTTTTTTCCTTTGTCAGAAGAATCAGTATCCTCAATTCTAAGTAATTTATGTCACTGACTTTCTACAAATCTTCCAAGAATCTACTCACGCTTCAAGACCCACTTCAAATCTCACTGCTTTAGCTTGACAGCTGCTGAGAAAGATTTTAAAATCTTGGTTGAATGAAAGAAAGCTGAACCTCTCTCAGCTAGACACACTTGCTCATGTTCCTTAAAATTCAAACACCATTCTCCCTACAGCCCTTTCTTCTTGAGTGGTCCCTCAATACATCTGCTGATTTTTGCCACACAGATTTTTTCCCTGAAAGATTCCAAGCAGATGGAAGCAAGAAGTATCTCATGTGCCTTTGTATTTCTACACTAAATGTCTCAAGCAAACAAACAGAAGCTTGATTCATACCCTACCATGTTCTAGGAGTCATCTCCCCCAGTTATCTGCTAAAGAGGCCTCATTTTCCCATCCACAGTGTCTCCACACTGTCAGCTGAAGGGAGGGTCTGCCGTGTCTCCTGCCCCTTTCTGCTACTTCCACACAACTGAGGAGCACACAAACTCCATCTTGCTGGCAGTCTATCTCACACATTTGATCCTATCTTCTCAAACTGCTGCTGCTAATGGAGATGATGAGCTTCAGCAATTAAAATGAGATTTGAGGGAACAGAGAAAAACCCCAACTCACCTGGGACTTTGTTGTTTGGCAAAGAGCAGACATATTTTCTTTCTCAAGACATCCCTTGTGGGAAAGGGCTGAGTTCTTAGACGGCAGAGCTGGAAGGAAATCGATATAAAGGAATCCAGTCATCTTTATGTATTGCACACCTATTAGATTAGAAAACCACCACTTCTAACAAAATTTGCACCTGACCTGGGCTGTCACGTGGTTGGTTTGAAGGATTTCACAGACATCTAAGTGATGAGGCTTCAAAGATAACCTCAGAAGACAGAATGAACATAAACTTAATCAGGGAAGGTCTAACCATTAACTGGATTCAGGATCTGCAGGAACTGTAGATCCTGAATCATGAGGATCCTGCATGAAGTTCCCTGTGCCCAAAATAAAAAATAACACTTAATACTTGGGCTGGAGAGGGGCTTAAAGACCTCTAGCCTCAACTCCTTTACTCACAAATAGAGAAACTGTTTAACTTTATAGAAGAAAAAGGAATTCACAGAGACAAAAGACAGCAGTGCCCATTCCAGCAGTCATGGTCACAGAGACCTTCAGCCATCTCACTGTGAGTGAATATTCCAGGCCTACAGTAAGTTTGTGGCCATCTTAGGTCTGTTCCACCGTATACAAGCCACTAAATTGCAGTGTGTCATCTCATTCACCCCTACGCCCTAAATTCCTGGCAGAGTAGGCCCGAAGTATTGTGAATGAATTAATGGATGATCCATTTCATTCCCTTTGTCTGATTCCATGGCCATCAGGCAACCTCCTGTTCATGATTTACTTACCCATTTTGATTAACTGCTGATCATATTCTCTGAGCACCTCTTGGAGCTTATCTCCAGATAGCAGAGTTTCACTATCTATGGATCTATATATAGTTCTGTGTTTTCTTAGTATCCTCCAGTTTATTATTTCTTTAATCCTCCTCTCCCTTCTCCAAAAAAGCAGTATTTAAAACTTGTAAATTTGTTTAGGAAAGAAGTATTTCTAGCCCTCAGTCATTATAAACAGAACAGGGTTTCACAATTTTTTTTAAATCCATGCTTCCCACAATCCTTTCTCATAAGAACAGAGGCCTTAGAGTCTGCCTGCCTACATTTAAATGCTGGCTCTGTATGACCACAGTTACTTCCAGGCTTCAGTTTCCTCATTTTAAAAGGGGGAATAATAATAGTACCTACCTTGCTACATTGTGCATTAATGTAAATTAGGGCCCAAACCAGTATCTGGTACAGAATAAGCACTCAGGAAAGGTCATTTAATCATCAGTTAATTATTATTTTCATACGTTCTGCATATCAACATTATGGTATTTTCTCTCTATACTTTGTTTTATGAGGACAAAAAGGCATGATCAGTATGTTTAGTCATATTCCCAAAGCCCCACTTCCCCAGAAGATGCTTGCTCCTGCACTATGCTGGACATTGACAATAAGTGGGGATAAAGTAGAGATAGGAACTCATAAATTCCAGGCCCTCCAAATAATCAGAGAAGCTGAGTGCAGGATGTTGTAGGAAAGCCAAACAGACTACAAAAGTCCCTTCTGATCTGGGTCATCCCCTTGTATCTCCTTAAGAGAGAACACTTTTTAATTCTGCCACACTGGGCAGCAAGTCCATGGACTCTGCAGATACAGGCCTCAGCTCTACACCTGAGCATGGGGAAGGTTCAAGAGACTAGGGCTCAGCTGAGTGTGGTGGTTCCCACCTCTAATCCCAGCACTTGGGAGGCCGAGGTGGGTGGATTGCCCTGAGCTCGCTGGTTTGAGACCAGCATGAGCCAGAGTGAGACCTCGTCTCAGAAAAATAGCCAGGCATTGTGGTGGGCACCTGCAGTCCCACCTACTAGGGAGGCTGAGGCAAGAGGATCACTTGAGCTCAACAGATTGAGGTTGCTGTGAGATATGACACCACAGCACTCTACTGAGGGTGACAAAATAAGACTCTATCTCAAACAAAAAAGAGAGAGACTAGGGCTCTCCTATTTTTCAATAATGCCAAATCAAATCAAATCATCAGCTTCTACCTGCCCATTTCCTTCTCTCCTTCCAAGGAGTCTGACTTGCCCCTGTCTCCTTCAGAGAGGCAGCTAGTATAATGGAAATAGTATGGAGATAAAACATCTTATTTTCTCAGCGCTTCAAATAAAAAGGGAATTACATTAGTAAAATTACTACCATTCTTCACACACTCACCATTTACCAGGGACTTTCCATAAATCACTTGTTACGGATGAGTAAACTGTTAACTTGCCCAAGGTCTCAGTGCTGCCCACACACATTTTACAAGGTTGCTGTAAACACAAACTAAAAACATGTATGTGTGCACATGGCAGGTCCCCAACTAACGGCAGAACCCTCTCTCACTTGTACTTCCTTCCTCTGTTATGGAGTTTGTGGGTGCAATCCTCCATAATCACAACTTTGCACCACCATTTGGGTGTAGCAACATTTCCCAAGTCCTCTGTATCTCCTCCTGGGAGTTCCCAGCATTCTTCCAGAAAATCCGACAACAGATTCTGGATTGAACTTTTTTCATGGCATTTCTTTTCTCATTCTGAGACCCTACACGTAATCACCTGGCTAACCTCAAAGTCAAGAACTTCAGTACTCAGTCTCCAGGAAGTCCTAAACACAGGCAGGTCTCAATACCGTTAACCCAAGGCCCTGCAGAGTAAGACACCCAGGAACACAGACTATTATACACAATGTACAAATACTGTTACCAACATGCCTGACATGCAAGATACACCCTGCTGGGAGTGATGGCATCTACATTCTAATTTCTACTAGGTGCCAGTTGACGGAGAAACCTAGGACAAATTAGTTCTCCTTCCTGGTTTTCAGGGGGTTTTTTTGTGCATAAGTGAGAAGATAGATGCCTATTAGTAATAACTGCTATAACTGATTGAGCCCTTACTTGGTGCCTCATGTCAAAATTCCATTTAATCTTTACAACCACAACTTAAAAGCAGGCACAATAAACTTCATTTTACAGTTAAGGGACACAAAACATAAGAGTTCAGTAACTTGCCTACAGTCGTATCAAGAGCAGTGCAGCTTTCTTGAAATGTAGACAAACGATCTCTGAAATCCATCCCCTCCTGCGTTAACATCCTCTGTAAAACGGTTTCACCACACAGTCTGCTGCAGGGCACCCAGGTGCACACGCGTCGGTCTCTGACCTGGCCCAACCACTGGGAGTCCTGGGCACTGCGTGCTTCACCTTCTGGCCAAGCGCTTCAGGGTACGTGGGCTCTCAGCCCGTTTCCGAGCAAAGGACTCTGAACTGTCTCAGATATTAAATATACCCCACCACCATCACCACCAGGCACACAGAAAACCCGGAGAAACGCTCCGGGTCAAGATGGCCGAGCCCAAACAGCCGGCACCGCAGCTCCAGCAGAAAGAATTATATAGTCGAATCAGGGGGCTTGGGGAGAGAGACCAGGACGCAGCCGGGGCTCCACATATGACAACCCCCTGCTGGACACAGACACCCAACGCAGCATCTGTGCCTCTAGGGGCTAGATCCCGGGAGCACCCCTGCGACCGAGAAGGGCGCGCACAAATGCACTGGGCGCAGGCGCAGAGCGCGCCGCGAGGGCGGGGCCGGAAGCGGAAGTGCGTGCCGAGGCTCCTGGGAAATGTAGTCCGGAGCACCTGAACCCAGCCCTTTCCTACACTTCCGAGACGCTGCCTGCTTCCGTAGGTTTAGTGGAACCCTCGCCCCGCGCTGAAAAGAAGAGTTAATGTTGGTCCCTCTGGCGAAGGCAGACGGGTGCTATTCGGAGCGTTTCACACACCGTCAAGGACTGTTGCGAGTTGTTGAGGGGGAGGCTGGGAGAGCAGAGGTCCCGTCCAGTGTGCTGGTCCCCTTTGTCGCCCTCCCCAGACAGGCGCGGCTGCAGCTCTTCCTCCGAGAGCTTCACGCCTGTCCCACGCTTGAGGGTATCCTCAAGCCCAGGAATCCTGACCTCTACCCATGCTCTCTCGTTCTGGCTACTGTCGTGCTAGACCCCGGCAGGTTCGGTGGCTCCCACGCCTCGGCCTCCTTCCCTCAGAGCACTGGGTCCTTTGACCGCCTTTGGGTCCCTATCTCTAAAGGTTAGGGAGGTGGGGCCCATTCATGGTGAGAGGGGGCTCTTCCTAGGCCGTATCAGCTCCGCAGTGTTTTTATGTCTCTGCCCAGAAAAGTGCCCCCGTTATTTCTATTTCTTATTTTGTGTTTGCTAGCCAGTTTCATATACACCACATTCCTCCAACTCACTTGGTAATTGATTTTATATTTATTTTCAGTTCTATTAATTCAGCCTCTTGGGGGGACATTCTGCACCCCTCTGTCCTTGTCATTCCTTGTCATTCCCATCGGGATTTAGTCATACTTGGTTCTACTGAGACAAGGATGAAAACAATAGTTGAGTTGTCGCTCTCATCTTTGTCACTTCCAAAATCAGGAGATGTTAAGAGGATGCACAGCCCCAACTTATAGGCCATCACCTCCACCACCAATCACACTGCTGAGGAGATCTCTGTAAATCCAGGCTATCCAGTCTTCACACCTGCACTCTGGATTCTATCTTTCTAAGCACTTTTTTTTTGCCAAATTATGACAGACCTCCACAAAGGTGCTACTGTAAAGAGAGCAAAATCTCAACCCTGAGATGCTTGGGCCAGGATTTCTGAAGAAATGCTGAGGTCCCTAGAATTTTGGGTTCAGTGACCTGCAAGAGAAACCCCACAGGACATTCTACAAGCTGGACTTCCCCCCTACTTTCTGCTGTCCCCCAAATCTCCAAAGCCTTCAGGGGCTAATGGTTTATTAAAACTGTGTAGAGTAATAGGTGTAACAGGAATGGCAAGTTGTTGATAGTTGTTGAGGTGACTGATAGATGTATGAGGATTCATTATGCTTTGCTTTCTACTTTTGTGTATGTATGAAAATTTCCATGACATATGTTTTAACAATAAAAATTAAATTTTCAAATGTGGCAGGTTAGATCATGCCTCTGCGCTGCTCACAATTTTCTCATTGCAGAGTAAAATCCAAAGTCCTTAGTATTTGAGTCTCACGTAATAAATTTAGTGCCACACAACCAGTTTTTTTTAATGAAATAAAAGAGAATGAAGTAGAACAGAAAAGAAGAAAGATCAGTACAGTGTGTCATTACATGTAGTGAGAATGAGTATTGTTTCAATGAACTTTTGTTTTGGTTGTTTTGGTGTGTATTGTATTTGGTGGAAATGTCAAATGCGTGTTGTGTGCATGCACATGTGTGTGTTTTTGGCAGTTCATGGAAGTTTGAAAACTATTGCTCCAGCCTCATATCTCCTTCTTACATCCTACCACTTACTGTCCTCCACCCCCGTACCTCACTCCTCCTTGCTGTTCAATATGCCATGTTCTACCCTCAGATACCTACAGGGCTTACTCCCCCATAGATTACTCCCATTGTGGATAATCTTACTCCCCCCAGATGTTTGCTTGAACATTATCTTGAACACCAGTGTCTTCCCTCAACGCTCTGTATAAAATAAGAACCCTGTAATGTCATTCACTACCTACCTTACCCAGCTTTACAATTACCTTGCAGCGCTTGTTTCCACTTCACACATTATGTATTTATGTGTTTATTTGTTTCCATCTTCCCATCTCCACTCCAAACATAAGCACTCTCTGTTTTGCCCAATGTTGTATATTTGGTATTGTCCTATATATTCTTTATTAGGTTAACACCTAGGTACTTTTTTTGAGTGCCTGGTATCTTAAATTTTCTTATTATACTATTTTTTAAAAGCCTATAAAAGAATACATAATGCTTAAAAATAGTAAAACAAATCCCCGACCCAGCTTAAGATATATTGTGACATCATACGTTACTTTCTGTTACCTTTGATACAGAGCAATGATTTTCAAAGGTGTGCTCTGAGAGGCTCTTAGGTGTGCCAAGAAAATTTTTGAACATCACTAATTAAATTATTTTTGAAAGAAGTTCAAAGCACACTAAGTATATTCTTTTTTTTTTTTTTTTTACTTTTTTTTTTGACACAGTCTCACTCTATTGTCAGAGCTCCCAGCAACCTCAAAACTCCCAGGTTCAAGCAATCCTTTTGCCTCAGCCTCCCAAGTAGCTGGGACTACAGGCACCCACCACAATGCCTGGCTATTTTTTGGTTGTAGTTGTCATTATTCTTTAGCAAGCCCAGGCTGGGTTAAAACCTGCCAGCTACAGTGTATGTGGCCGGCCCCCAACCACAGAGACACAGCACCTGGCCTAAAAACTAATCTTAACCCAAATCTTTCATAAAAACTAATTTATTTTTGAATTGATATAATATATGTATTTATGAAGTACATAGTGATGTTCCTATACATATAATTTATAGTGATCAGATTAGTATAATTAGCATATCATCTGAATCATTAGTCATTTCTTGGTTTGGGGAATATTCAATATTCTCTCTCTAGTTATTTGAAGTTATACGAATATTATTGTTGGGTATAGTTATCCTAAAGTACTATAGAATACTAGAACTCACTCCTTCTAGCTAGCTGTACGTGTTGTATCCATTAACAAATCTCTCCCTGTCACTGCCTGTCCCTCTACCCCTCCCAGGCTCTAGTATCCTCTGTTCTACTCAACTTCTATGAGATCAACATTCTTTAGCCTCACTTATGAGTGAGAACATGTGTTTGTCTTCCTGTGCATGGCTAATTTCATTTAGCATAATGTCCTCCATGTTGCCATGAATGACAAGATTTCATTCTTTTTTATGCCCAAATAGTATTCCATTGTGTACCACATTTTCTTTCTTCATTCATCTGTTGCTTGACACCTAGATTAATTCCGTCAACATCTTGGATATTGAGAATAGTGCTGCCATAAACACGAGGGTGCCGATGTCTTTTCAGTATATCCTCTCCTTTGGATAAATGCCCAGTAGTGGGACTGCTGAGTTGTATGGTATTTCTATTTGTAGTTTTCGAGGAACCTCCATACTGTTCTCTACTTTATCCACTAGGTTACATTCCTACCAACAATGGACATTTTCTCCTCATGCTCCCGAGCATTCGTTATTTTTTGTCTTTCTGATAATTGCCATCCTAACTTGTATGCTTTTGATTTGCATTTCCCAGATGATTAGTGAGGTTGAGCATTTTTTCACATGTTTCAAATGGCATGTTGGCCATTTGTAGGTCTCCTTTTGGAAAATCTCTCTTCAGATCATTTGCCCATTCTTTAATCAGATTATTTCACTGTTGAGATATTTTGGTGTCTTACATATTCGGAATATTATATTAACTCTCTGTTGGATGAACTGTTTGCAAATATTTTCTATTATTCTGTAGGTTGTATTT